GTCCATTAGAGTTGGCGTGGGAATCCTGGAGCCTTACCAACCAGCTGATTGGATGGAAAGAACCCAAGATGATTTCCAAGTTAATTACCCTGCTTAACTTTATCTTTATATTTGCATATACTTTTAGGAAGGACAATGTAAAGAGACAAATGCTTTTATACAACTGAGTTTAATTCACTTCATGGACAAGAGTGCTCTCAATTTTCGAGCCTAAGCCATTGTTTCTTGCTCTAAACATGTACCTTTTGTACTGGGTACATAAACTACATACTCCAAGTAAAGGTCAAGTATTTGAACTTTGAAGCAATTTGGCACATGGGTTAATCATGAAGGAAAAACAGGTCTTGTACTGCTCTGTTCTAAGTTTAATATAAAACAGAGCAAAACAGGTTATAAATAAAATAAATGCAATGTGCAGAAACTTGTGGTTCCTGTCAGTATTTTTTGTTTTAATGAGCTGAAATCAGATTCAACTACATATTATTTTATGAGGGAGGATTCAACTGCATTGGGTTGCCACTGTTTATCTGGTAAATCATGTGGGGCTCAGATTACCAGCTGGATCATTTCAGGCAAATGGTGGAAATATTTTCCATATAAACTCTCCTATTCAGCTAGTAGACCTAATGAAGAAGATTTACCAGGCAAAAGTTGAACTAATTTGGCTGAATTTCTTTTTGTTTTCTTTTTTTTCTTCTCTTTCGTATTGGCTTCTTGTTGAGCATCACTAGCCATTAAATTAAATAGATATTAGGTGCTTGTAGTTTCCCAGATTATTTAATACTCAGAATACATAGTTTTTATGTTCAGATCTTACCAAAAAAATGTTCAGAATCTTCAAATTAAGGTAGGATCTACCATCTATATTGAATGTTTCAAACTAATTTAAATATTCATAGATTGTACTGGAATATCTGAAGTAGAGGAGGGGTACCTAATATTCTCCCATTATTTTATTATAACAAAATAATAATAATAATAATAATAAAATCCTCCATATTCTTTAACCCTCTATTGCTGACTTTTTCCATTGTAACTATGAGCTTTGCTAATTAGGATTAGAAATTTAGAACTACCAAGTTTTAGGTCTGTAAGGAAGAATAGTCTTCTTTTACTTCTTTCATTTCTTCTTTTCAATGAGCTTGAGCCTCCATTTTAGAAGGAATTGCAGTTGAAGCAAAGTGGACTCTAGGGCCTTCCACCCATCCAAGTCTTAACAGTAGAAAGGTGAAGCACTTTCTATATATAGCCTGCACCTGGGTGATTTGATCCCTTTAAAGTTTAAATATTCCCCGCCTTGACTTCATTAATCCCCAACAATCAAAACTTCCACGTAGTTTCCTCACTCCCCAAGAAAGACAGGCTGCTCAATTTGTTTAATGCATCTCTTACGAGTTTGAACGCATCGTCATCCTTTATGCGCAGTCCACACATTAATTGATTAATGAATCAATCGTGCTTGTTAACAAGAAAACAACACGTGGGCTGTTTGCAACTTGCAGATATATATATATATATATATATATATATATATATATATATATATATATTCCTTTCCTTTTCTCAAGTTAGATGAACCTACTTGGATATCTCTTTCCTCTTCCCAATTAACCTGTTTCTGTTTGTATAAGCGAGGACGCAAAAAGAACCAAACACGTAGTCTATATGGAAAGTTGTGGAAAAGAATATAGTTAATTGGATATCTCAAGGCTTTATTTATGAAAATAAAGTAAGTTTCTAAGGGGTCCAGTCCAATAATGAAGCCAAATTTAATTTAAGCTCTTCTGAACATCGTTTTCATGCTTAACGCAACAAGTCAGGGTTTGTTTGGATAAGCTTTTTCACTTTTGAGCTCTGGGCTGTGAAAATCAAAATGAAGTGTTTTTGAGTGTTTGGTAAGATTTACCGTCAAAAACCGAAAACACTTTTAAATCCAAAGCACAAAGCCTAAATTTGGGGTTTTTAGGATTTAGAAGCACAAATCCTAAAGATTGTCCAAACATAACGTTAAGTTACTGTCTAAAGACTATTTAAACAGACAGCTGGCCATGGGGCAAGACGTCAGCCATCAAGGAGTAGTGGCTGAAGTCATTTGCAGTGTAAGCATCAACATCATGCCCAAGTAAACAAGTGTTCAACGTAACTATAGCAAATTTCTTTGCCAAGAGACAGAGATGAGCCGCAGCCTTGTCCAAGTGGAGGTCACATCTCTGCCCCACAATGCCCCACATCTTTGCCGTGTATTAGAAATATCTCTCTTGATGACATCATCGGGACTGGTACTATCATTGGAAGATGTTTCTAATACACGGTGGAAATGTGCTGTGGGCCGTTGTGAGGCGGCTCTTTATAGGATGGAGATGTAAACTCGTCCAAATGGAATCTCAATTTGGGGTTTGGTACCTTATCTATCTCTCAAACCTTAAGCTTGAATTCCCATTTAGCTATAGATGTGAAGTTATTAGAAATATATGCATCTGATCAGGCAAAAGAATGAGGATGAATAGAGTTGCCATCAAATTCACAAAAGGATAAATCAAACGTGTGTAGCAAGAGAGACTTTGTATTTGCGTGTATGGGACTAACTGCTGCCATACACCAGTGCAGTGATGCATAGATAAATAACTCCATACCTAACGTACAACCAAAGCTCAAGCTTGTTGCCTTCTCCAATTTAGAGGTTCCTCACGAAATCCAATTTGTTTGTATCCACCGAAAAGCACAAATGGGCAGATGCTTGGATATGGTATAAGAGTAGGGACCCATGTCATTAATATTGGTCCGGGTTCCAATTTAACACATGGGTAGCCGTCCAAGTCCAACCATTGGCACCTATTATTGAGGACTATGAGTAGTTTATTTTCGAAGAGGTGAGCACTTAAATATCTGCACACCAGAGATGTTTGTCACTATTCTCTTTCTATAACCAGGTCCTCATATTGCCAGAGACCGGATGGTTTAGCAGTAGACACTATTCAATCAAAATTTTAGTTTCAACGAGTGGATTGAGTGAGCTAATTGCCAATAGGGATAGCAATTTCTACCCTACCTGGTAGTAGTTGGGCCTAAAAGGTTGGTTTTTTTTTTTTTTGTTTGAACTTTGAAAGATGGATTTTGAGTTTCTACAACCCATATGGTATGAAAAGGGTATGGTTAGGGGTGTCAATTGGACTGGATTTGGTCCAATCTGGTCTAGTCCATAACAAATGGATCCGGTCCAATCCAGTCCAATGAATATTTTGGATCATTTTTGGACCGGTTAGAGATTGTTCAATCTGTTCAAATTCATGTTAATTTAGATTGGTTTCAACTCAAACCTGGTCCATTGACACATGTGTTCTTATCTTTTATCAATGGACCAGATATTGGCTCAATCCAATATAAATTAATTATGGACGGACCAGGTCCAATCCGATATGTCATATTGGTCTGTCCAGTCCATCCAAATTCAATATGTCTTATTGGTCCATCCAATCTGTTCAAATAGATTTTGATTTGGACAGAGTCCAACCCAAAACCAATCCATTGACACTCTTAGGTATGGTACCCACATATTGTTGAAAAGCATATAAACTTTATGTATTAGGTGTTGAATTTAGTAATATTTTAAATTTTATGTAAGGGACAATTGATAATATATGTGTTTTTACATGTCTTAATTAGATAATTAGAATTTTTTTGTTTATTTAAATTATTTACTTGTTTATTGTTTATGTATGATAAGAAATAATAGACAATTAGATATGAATTCTAAACCTAATCCACCCCTTCCAATCTATTATAGGTTTTGGGGTGAGTACAGATTGGAAAGTTTAGGAAAACAGGTGACATCTAAAATTTTTAAAACCCTCACTAAACCCATTGTCATCCCTAATTGCCAAGTTGTGACAGATTCAGAAACCAAAGCATTTTACCCTCGAATAGGAAATGGGTCGGGTTAAATTCACACGGGTCGAGAAATGGTCATCGAGACTCGTATTTTGGCGCCCCTGCAGACCCTGCAATCGTGAGTCGTGAGTCGTGACGAGTAAATCCCGACCCGGAACTGTCAGGTTGCGCTGGGACGCATCCCATTACCGCCACCTGCACAATGAAACGTGATGAAATAGAATTTGTGTCTACGTCGGTCGGTCTAGGCTTGTGTAGTTCTACGGTTCTACCCCCTACAAATGGAATGGGGAATGGGATCTTTTCCTTCTCTTTTGTTGCATGCTTTGGTGGAAATATATATAAATGGGCTCTGATTTTTGTGCCTTCACGGCGTGCTCTAACAGTAGTTGAGTCTATTGGGTTTGGATCCATTAGACTTGATTGTACTGAAAATTGTATTTATTTATTTAAATGATAATTTAAATTTTTAAATTTGATAATATAGTGTTAAAAATGATAATAAAATATTAAATTATTTATATATTAATAGATTAAATATTTTAATTAATATTAACTTTCAAATTTACCATTATAAACATAAAATATGATAAAAATTATAAAAAATATTATATATATATATATTTAATATAATAATCAATTACACAGGTCTTAATTAGCTTGAGACATGCAAACACTGAAACCAATCCTGACAAAATCATGGATCAAAAGGACATAATTGATCCGGTTTGGTTCAGTCAGTCGGGCAGAACTGGCCCATTGACAGCCCTAGGAAAAGATGATGTTTGTTATGGAGACAATGTAATACTGTAATCTTAACGCGAACTCAATGTCCATTCAACAAGCTGTGTGTATCTCTATAATGGAGGAGGAGGATCAAAGTGCATGACTAAAAATATTTATGGAAGATTAAAGTGGTTGAGACTGAGATATCAAATCTTAATTAATTGTCTACAGGTTTACAGTTGATTTCCTTTTGAAGGAAATCCTGTTAAGAAAAAAAAATAAGCCTTGAAAAAAGAAAACTCCAATTCAACCAAAGCTTTCTGATTGGGATGCTTAAGATGAAATTGAAATTAATAAAATAAAAAACGTGGCTTATTACAATGGAATATCCCAAAAGTATATTGCATGTAATACACGGACCTTTCTGTTTTACACCATTCAGCTTTGTAGATGAGAATCTTTGTGGGTCCCTCACTCCCTCCTCATCTCTTCGATGATCAAAAAAAAAAATTAATGGGTCAGGGTCATCATCAACAATGTGATCACCATTACTAGTTTACTACAATAACAATTTAGGGCCTAGGAGGGGTCCCCCACTCCTCTGTCTTTGCGGAACTGGTTCAGTCATGTGATTGGTCCGGGTTAGGTTGAAGTTGAACCCTCGGTGTCAATTGGGTGTGGCCCAAGAACTCCATTGGTTGATCTCAATCGATCGGATTGATTGTCGGTGGTGATACAATCTCATAGAATTTGTATAGCCGTTGTATCATATAGATAAGATTTCGTCCTACACAGTGAAGCGACGAGGAACCGGAACTCTGGGAGTTGGAACGACGTTATCTCCACCAGATTTTATCAACTCGATCCGGTTCTGTATGGTATTGTCGAAGAGCCGGTTTTGGGGGTTGTCAGCATAGCAGACGTAGTAACAACTCACACATGCGTGTGGCAGCGCCATTCCGATCCGAGTCTGATGCATTAATTCATTCAAAGCATGATTTAATTAAGTTGAGCACTTGCTTGATGCATTTGATAGATTAATAAACAAGTGTGAGTTGTGAGTGAGGGCAGTAATACTAACCAAGAGGTAGCCAATGAAGAAGGCCATGAGCGAGACCGTGGCCGTGAAGCTCTTGTGCTCCGCCCAAGTCCAAGAAGCCGTGACAAGGACACAGATGGAGCCACTGCATACTCCGGTGAGGAAGCCAATGGCGCTGGTTATGTCGGAGTCGACGATTGGCTCCATTTGCTGCCTCTCAAACATCTCCCATGTTTGTTCTGATGCCTCAACAAATCCCTTTCCATATGCAGCTATCTGTAACAAATACCCATTTCATTCCAAGTTTCCAACCCCAATTTCTTCTGTATAGTAATTAACTAAACTACTATAGTATTATTAGAGAGAGAGAGACCCCATCTAATATCTCTATAAACAATGTTGACTCAACTTCATTGGATGAACTCCCAATGTCCAATTTTTATTTTTTATTTTTTTTTTCAATCCATATCAAATCCATTGGACAATTACAAAATAGGATATGGTTTGGTCAATTATAAGATTAACCCCACTTAATATTTAAGATGGTTTGATCAAGGGCATAGAAAATCATCTACAGCGCATATTAAGAAAGAAACAATCTGTTACAAGTTGAAGGGGTCAACAGGATTAGAGGTAGATCAAAATGAAATGATGGGTTGAAGTAGTAAGAAATGATTTTAGGGCTCTTAATTAATAATGGATATGGCACTAAACAGAATAATAGAATGGTGAATCAGGATTCACGTAGCCCCATCCCATACAATTGGGATAAGCTTAAATGATGATGATGATGATGATGTGGAGTATAGTTGTGATTTTTCAAGTAGGACCCATAGTGTAAAGGACTTAGAAGGTTGCTTGCAAGCATTTGTAGTCTGAAGTTATTGCTTACAATAAGTGAAAAAATAAGCTAACTTTACCTGAACATAGGCCCAGCCATTGCCATATCGGAAGATGGACTCCATGACTCTGAGGCAGCAATGGGCGCAGGAGAACATGAACTCATCTTCGCCTTCCAGTAAATTGAGACCCCGAGCAATGATTCGCATAGTTTCGATGGTCGGCACAAAGAGAGAACCTAGACAAGCACTTCCAAGGTTCAGAGTCATGGCTCTATGGAAGCAAAATTGGGTATTAGATTGCATTCCTCTGAGATAATACAGAGATATAACCCGACTAACTGTTAAATTTGCTACGTTTCTCATGACTTCAGCTGTCCAAGCTAAACTCAAGATCAGTGCAATTATGATCAAAGGGGGGAAGTAGAAATTCAAGGCTCCAATAACTGCTAAAACCCAGAGAGAAATCCACATGAACCCAATTCCGAGCATCCAGTAAGTGGGTTGATTGAGATCGGGGAATTTCGAGACTGGTTCAAAAGATTTTATAAATATTTTTGCACAGAACCCAACTCTCTGTGCGACCCAACAAGCATAGAGGCCATTGCCGATCGCAAAGCCGATAAGGGCAATACCAACGCCGTCCGTCGTTGCCCTCTGGAAGCAAAGGAGGAGAATCCCTGCAGATAGTGATGTCGCAAAGCTGCTCCATACTATGAATTTGATCATGAATCGAGGCCACTCTCTGACTGCCTTTTGCCATACGAAGGCAAGAATGATGCTTAGAATAGCTGAACCTTCAACTTGTGGCAGCCAGAACTCCAATATCCTTCTCTCTTTTCTTCGAGTGTCACCAGTTTTCAAGAGACCTTGAACCGCCTTGAATCCAAGAAACGATACCAGCCCAACTGCAGCAACCATGTGTAGAAGAAACAGAAACAGAGAGATTCGATTCGTGTAAGCCCTTGAACTCAGTGTATTCAACGGTGGCTGATTCAATCAGATAAACCCAGAAACGATGAAAAGTCAATATATTGTAAAATGAAAGAAAATTTAAGCTTCCTCTCACTCCCAATCTATGCAACTTACTTGAGGAGTTGAGAGAGTCTGTGCAGGAGCGGGAGCAGCAACTCGAGTGGCATTTGGACCTCGAGGGATATTTGGAACTCGACCACCTTGAACGACAATCCTCAGAGGATTTGATGGATTCAAATTTCTCAAATTGGACACATGGAATTCCTTCTGAGTATAGTTTTCCACCATTTTTTCTTGAATACCCACCTCTTGTTTATCTGTTTCCTTTGCATCTCTATTAACCTTGTTCTCCTTCTCACCTTCTTCTCTCGCCCCATTTTCCTTACCTTGTTCCTCCATTACCTGAGAACAAAGAAAATCTCTGCAACTATAGCGAACCAGGAAAACAGAAACAAAACAAAGGCTCCAGAGTAATATGTTTTAAATGTTCTTACTGGTTCTGCAGCGCCCATGGTGGAGAGAAGTCTGGAATTTGTTCTTGTAAACCTTGTATCGTCGTCCCCGATGGCGATCGTTTACTTCTTGTTGCTGATGTCGTTAGCTCTTCTCTAGCCATCAACTCATCAGCTTCTTTTATTTCTTTGTTCTTTTGTTCTAATTTTCAACTTGTCTCGGCTGTATCTACGAGACCCACTTTGATTGGGCTACATATAAATATGTGGGTAGGTGGATTGGTCCGAATGGCTTAGAAGATAGTCGGGTCCAAAAGTCTTCGATCCAAAATCCAAACAGACATGTTCACTTCAACATTTCTTGTAGAAATTCGGTTAACCTCTTTTTTTCCCCTCTTCATTCTTTTTCTCCGGGCGCAGGTTTTTGTTGGGAGGGAGAGATCAGAGATTGTCTGATGTAGCACGGTCCGGTCACTCCTAGCTGGCGGGGGCTTCGCTTCTAGTTGGCAATAAACAACACCTGAGAAGAGGAAGAAAGTAAAGAATTCCCAGGGAGCTTGCCCAGTGGGAATATTCTGATGCTTAAGTTAGAGCTGTAGAGAATGTAGAGGGAGCTAAGAGTGCAGATAGCGCAAGATCAATTCAAGTCAAGTTAAGTTTAGATAGATTTTTGATTACCTTTACCCCTTGGGAATCGGGGCCTTTAAATACTGTGTTCTTGCCAAATCGAGCATAACCGTCTCTGGCCCTCTGTCACAGTCGTTTATTGCCAGGGCTGTGCAGGTAACCGTTGCAGAGTACTACCCAATTAGATGAGAGACACGACCCGGGGAGGACAGACACACCGCCACCTGTCGATGGACGTGGGTATAGTCTGCTGGACTGGCAGGGACTGCATCATCGGTCAGGGGATGTGGTGCAGTCTGACGGATACGGTCTTGTCAGATAGAATCTTTCTGAAAACGCTTTTGTCGTTCAATAGCGAGCTATCCTATTAGCGAGTTGCTTTGTAGCGAGCTATCCTATTAGTGAGCTGCTTTGTAGCGACCTCCCGCTAGCGAGCTGCTTTGTAGCGAGCTCCCGGATGTATCCCGAGGTGATTCTGCCTGAGGTTGCCCTTAAGGCCATCCTTTTGCCTAAGGATTGGAGCGAGCTGATTACTATAGCTCGCGAGCTGGGATAGACTTAGCTTGGAGTGTTCCCTTTCAGTATACTGAGGTTCTTGAGCTTGCGCTGTAGTGAACTGTCATGTAGCGAACTGACTTGCGAGGGTATTGACGAGCTCGTTACTCAGTTAAAGTCAAACTATCACGCTGAACTGTCGCTTATGTCGAATCATGTCCATGTATCACCTTCGTAGGAGGTCGGGTCAAATCTTCCTCCATCAAGACCTAAAATGCTAAAATCATTTTGATCACTGGTCACTGGGTTGCGGATCAAATGGGTCTGGTCATAGCTCAGTACGTAGCATGGGACCCATCTTAATTGACAGATGTGGTGATTTAGCAACTGTGGGGAAATCCAAATTCAACCCGAACCGGAACCCCAAAGGCCCGAAAATCGTAAGGATAGTGTCGGACATAGATGAGATGATAGATCACTGGTTTGGAGGATTAAGATTGGATGGTGGTTGGACTTTAGTGTTGGAATAGAAAGATGAAGTGGGTGATAAGTTGGACGGCTAGGATTGTATTTACATTATTGAAGTATGTAGGGAATTACAATTATTCTTAGTTAGCTTGTGATCCATGAAAACGACTGATTTTAATCCATGGATCATGTCTTCACTTCTCAGGGCGTGCAAGGCACTACTTCCACTATATTTATTAGTACTAAAACTAATTAGGGTTAGATGTCTGAGATTGGATTTCCAAAACCATAAGTTAAGAATTAATTAATTAGTTTTTAAGTTTTAACTGATAGTTAATAAAGCTAAGTTAGTAAAGTAAAACATTCGAAGGCGATAGCTCAATTAATTTGATTAATGAAAGACAGCCCACGGGAATTTGTAAATGAGATAAGTGGATTGGTGGAATGAGTCGAGAGACAGGATTCAAATTTGTATAGAAGTATAGAACAAGCAAATGAGAGGTAAACTTGTAATTTTGTAGTGCCCTAATGCCTTGGGTTTTTGATAACTAGTTTTATTACCTTCTTCGCTTAGAATTTCTCCCTCCCCCAAAAATCTTCTTGAATGAAAGCAAGGTTCAAAATTGTAGTGTAGTGGTGTATATATATATATATATATATTAAACTTGTTAAATGCTTTTTATAATGTTTTTTTATTTTTTTTAGGTAAAATTAGATAATGACCATTTTATTCATAAAAGTATTATTATTGAAAGGGCAATATTGTTTTATCATAATTTTTTTTTATAAGTAAAATTATTTACTTAAGTGGATAAAGGGTGATACTTACTCAAGTAACTAACCTACTTGGGAATTGTTCGTTTTCATAAGATCCACTAATACCAAAACACAAAATGTAGGTGAATTAATCAACTCTTGTCTTGATCAACTTACCTGCCTCCATTTACTGAAAAACGAACAAGACTTTTAGGCTATGTTTGGTTTGAAGGAAAAAGTAGGAAAAGGAAAGAAAACCTTTACAAATCTTATATAAATTTCCCTACATTTTTCTTCATTTCCCTACCCTTTCCTTCAAACCAGACGTAGCGTAAAGGGATTTAGGGGGGCAACTGGGAGAATTGGAGATTAGTTGCCAAAGCTAAAAATTTGTATTGCATGCGGGACTAACACAAAAATTAGACACCTCCTCTAACCCAAAAACTTAAGTTATAAGGTTGTGGCCTTGTGGGGCAATTATATATATAAGTTCGTTGCTTTCTTTTCAATGTGGGACACCATCCACTCACAAATGAATCCCAATAACAGCGAACTCCTATCTTATATTATCTTGAAAAGAAAATATAACATTACCTATAAAAAATGCGCAAAAAGAAATTTTTTGCTCTGGGATCAATGCCTTGAATCTTCTTCTCTTCTCAAAGGTCAAAAAGGCAGCTCTCTTTTCTGTCAATATTTAACTGCATCTATTCCCCAGAATACTATGTGTTGTTTTGCACTACTACTAATAATTTAGTTGTCTGGACTATGGAGCTAGCGAAGGAAAGCTTTAATTGGAGAAATGGGTCAATCTTTAGAATATTAATTCTAGTTGGGTTGGTTGTGGAGCCTTCTAAGTTGTCAAATTTATGGAGCACTGAATACTGCAAAGCAAGACAAAGACAAAGCTAGTTCCATTTTGGACAACACATTGTGCATCAAACTAAAGCTTTTGGGCTCTCAAGCAACGGAAACAAGAGCAAAAGAACAAATTAGACAAATGTAAATCTCGTTGCAGCTTCTCTCAGGCAAATTCCTTGGAGGTATCTGTTGGACCTGGCGTGGAATTCCTTACGCTAAAAGGATTTAGAAATGAATGGAAGATGTATCATTGGTTGGCTATAAGCAGGTGGTCAAGCAACCTCTTTTAGTCAAGGTATTCTTCCAAAGGGGCAATGAAGTCATCATGGTTGGAACCATTAGATTGGCTACACATCCTTGCCACAATCAATATGTGAATGCAAGGAAACTTCAGACCTCGGGGAAATTTCTCTCCAAAGCCATCCATATTGTCAATTGAAGAGACTCTCAGGTACTGTCTTATCATCTTAAGATAATTATTAAGGCTTTGTTTGGATAAGTTTTTTCTTAAAGGACTGGTTTGGGAGGGATAGAGTGTTTGGTTGAGTTGCTTTCACTGAGCTGTTTTGGAGAGCCCACTGGAAAAGAATCGGGATCTCCTGCTAACAAAATTCTTTTCCAACGTGATCTATAGATTTATGCACATTCCATACATGATGGGTCCCACTCTTATGGTAGATCCCACACATGATGTGCAGATACAGGTCTGCAGGTTGGAATTAATGTGTTGGGAAAGATTTTTATTGGCAAGAGATCTGGGTTCATTGAAATTAGAAGCTCACCAGATTGGCTTTCTGATATTCATTTTCAGCTCTCAGCTGGGGTGGTTTTCACCAAACGGATACTAAGTTTTGGGTTGTGATAAACAAAACTGAGGCAACAAGTATTTTAAACATTTGGTAAGAGTTGTTTGCAAAAGAATAACAATCTAAAGCCAAAACAATTTTATGCGCCCAAGCATAAAGTGAAAATTGGGAATTTAATGATTTTAGGCTTTGAAAGCACAAATCTTAAAGCTTATCCAAATGCATCCTAAGCCCATATGGGCTGGCTTAAGAAATAGGGTTCAACTAAATCCTTCTCTTACAAAAGGATAAACATGCACATAAAAGTAATAGATTACATACAGTTTTGATGGTGCATAATTTGGTAGCTTCCTACTAGAGGACGGTTCGGACACGGGACTAGATAGGTCGCTTAGTCGAGTTGTAAGGAAAGAGAGAAAAGATCAGAGTATCCGGGCTACTTTACCCAGTGTGGAGTTTTTTGAGAGCTAGACAGCAAGAGAGAGCTAGAGAGCTTGAGTGTTAAATCATGTGTACCTTATGAGATTGGAGGTGAGGGTCGTGAGGCCCTTATATAGGTGAACTGCCTTGAGCCTCACAAAACACATCCGGGATCTCCAGCCCGTTTGGTTTGGAGGTGGTTTTATGCCTGGAGGTGGACTCTGTGTAAGCAAGTAATGTTTATCCAATCCCGTCCAAAGAAGGCGAGGTGATAACCAGCTCTTCCAACGTGGTGTCGTGATCCCGGAGAATTCGGAGGCAATAATCCACTTAAAGGGGAGGTCACTAGGCATGTTAGAGTTCAAACATGTCGCTAACCAGAGTTAGGTCAGATTGGTGGAGGCAAGTCACCTCTTATGCCAACCTAAGGTCTTGCCTAGCTGTTATAGTTCGACCTACTGGGGTGGTATTGAGGTCATCGGTGTAGTTGTGAAGTGTCCGAGATGCTCCTGCGGTCTGTTTTCATGGTGCCAAGGTGTCATTCTGCAATTCTACAATGTCAGGTATCAGGATATCATTGAATGACCAAATTACCCCTCATCAAGTTTCAATTAATTTACCTTGGATATGTTTTCTAATTTCCTTATCCTTGCTAAACATGTATACTCTACTTTCACGGTCTCACTCTTGTTGGGTGTTTGTGTTTTCTTGGTAAAATTTTTGCAGTGGACCCCTTGGAGGTTGGAGCTAGTTAGGTCTCTGTTCAAAGAAAGCTGAGTAGGGGTGGATTTGAGCCGAGTTAAGCTGAATATTTGGCTATTCAAGCTTGGTTCACTCAAACTATGTTAGGCTCAAGCTTGATTCGAACTAAAAACTTGAGCTTGAGCTGGGCTTGGTTCAAAGCTCGCAAATTCGAGCTTGACTGCAAGCCAATTTTTTTAAAAGAATAAAAAAGATACATATAAAAATATTTTTTATCTTGCATATAAAAATTTAAGAATTGTAAAAATTATTTCTTATTATACATATAAAAAATAAAAAATAAATGTATAAAAATGTTTTTATTTTGCATACAAAAAAATAAGAATTATAAAAATTATTTACTATTATACATAAAAAATAAAAATATTATTATATAAAATAAAAAATATTTATTATATATATTTATATGTATATGTATATATGTATATAATAAAAAATATTTATTTATTATATTAGGCTGACAAGCCTCATGAGCCAAACTTCACTAGGCTCGAGCTCAACTCAACTATCAAGCAAGCCTATATATTAGGCTCGAGGTTGACTCGAAGCTCGATTTAAACCGAACCAAGCCAAACTTTTCACGAGCCGAGCTTGAATAACTTGTGAGAAGCTCGACTCGTGACCACTCCTAAAGCTGAGGAGTGGCAATACTAGTTCTCTTGTTTTGACAAATCAGAGGCTGCCAAATGCTGTTTTGGGATAAGAATCCCATTTTAATCAACTGTCGGCCAGAATCTCCATGTGTCCATGTGTCTCTGGGAAGGAGCTTGAAGTAGCACATACAAAAAGGAGAAGACAATATTCTGCTGTTTATCCTCTCAAGTCTCAATCCCCCATGTCTGGGGAGGGGCTTCTGATGGTAACTTGCACCATAGAAGTTGCACAGAATTTGTGCATCTAGGTGTAGGCTGCTTTTTCATCTTTGGAGACTTCCCTACAAGATGTGAATTTGACTTCTACATGTTTCACTTTAGCCAATCACAGAGAGTTCAACATCACTAATCAAGGGTCCTTTTTATTTTTAGAGAAATAATTCTAAGTATAAACAGTGAGTTTGAGCAACTCTTGTAAACTTTGTCCTAAACTAGCATCCATGGAAGGATATACTAAGACAAGAATTGGACATTTCAGGAAATTATTGGGTCTCATTTAATTTTGTTTTTGGGAGAACTAAGAATTGCATAAACTCACTTGTTTAATAACATTATTCACAGTTTATTATACTTTTCGGTGTACTCTGCTTTTTCATGTTTTCCTAATGAGAGAAAGAGAGAGAGAAGATTTTGACAAAATCATAATTTATAAGATGGGATTTCCTGAAAGCGAAACACATACAAACATGCCGAAAGAATGGCATCCATGAGAACACCCTTCTATGAATTTAACATATAAGTACAAGATAGATTCCCAATGTGCATCTGGATGCCGTGTTCTCAGCATTTTTGCATGCTTCTTACATCCAAGAGTTACGGACTAGTAATCTCTATATACATAGTATATTGAGGAGAGATGAAGGCCAAGAGTCATCACACCTCAATGGTAAAACAGATTGATGTGGAGTCATCACTTCTGATGGTAACCACACCTTAATTTTCACGTGAATCAGATGGTATGATGTGGAGTTTTAAATAAAACAGATTGATGAAACAGGATTCATGTGGCCAACAAACCCCATATAATGGAATAAGGCATGGATGATGATAATGAGATGTATGATGCGGAACTAAGTCCATCTTTTGCATGTGAAATATAACCTTATTTAAATCCCCACCTGAAAAAAAAAAAAGGAAACTAGGAACGTTCTACATGGATGAGTCATCCGTGTTCAACCTCAATCTCCTATTAACCAGATGTCACCCAACAATTCAATATGAGCAATTTTGAAATGATCTGCCCGGTGAATATTATTAATTTAGCCACGTCAGACCATGAGTTGCCTAATTTTGACTAAAAAACAGATCACTTGTCCTGAGGGCTATTCATGGGGGGTTTTGATCGGTCACAGTTGTTCCGGTATCATATCTTTTCGACATCATAGATATGGCCTATACGCAACCCTAGCATCCTACTTTGTGTTTTTCATACAAGACAAGGAAATTTCCCTTTTAAGAACCCAGATTCCAACTTTACTTCTTAAATGGGTGTTTACCAATATTTATGAATTTGTTTTTAACAAGATAATTCATATCGTTGAGTTGTTTGTCCTATTGCTTCCAGAAAATGAGATCGAAATAAGAAAAGAAAGGATAAAAAAGGAGGAAAAGAAAAGAAAATAAAAGATGAGAATAAAATAAGAGATCAGGCTCACTTCAAAGAAAGGTTTTTAAAATCGAACCGGTCAGGGGTTTGATTACTGGGTTGAATAGTCCGATTGTTTGAACCGAATGCTCAACCCATTTTGACAAAAAAATAAAAAATAAATAATAAGCGGTTAAAACTGTTGAAACGATTCGAATGATTAACCGCCCGATTCAGCGGTTCGCTGACTAAAATCAACGGTTTTGGGAGAAAATCCGGTTTTTGAGGAAAACGGAATCGGTCAGACCCAGTTTTCCGATCCGACCATCTAATCCAGGGTCCAGTCCAGTTTTGAAAACCATGCTTCAAAGTCCCAGCTTTGTTTTGTACCCAACTAAAACAGAGCACATGAATAAATAGGAAGCTATTAAGCTGAGTTTGATTGGAGTACAAATACAAAGATGTAGAGTGCAAAACCTTGTATTTTGTATTATTTTGTATGTATTTAGTATTTACGCTACATATTTGCATTTGTATTCCTTCCAAACTCAGCCTAAGAATTTAAATTGAGCGTTTCTTTTTGCTTCGTATCCTTACAAATCTACAATAGCTGCATTTCTTTGATGAACCAAAGCATTAAAGGCAATGGCCGAATTGAATGCTATTAGAGCAATTATGGATGGTGACAAGCCATGTTAGCCATGGCTTAGTCCTAATTAGACCTGTTCATGGGCCGGGTGGTCCGACGGGCTGAATCGATCTAGCCCGGTCCCCGGACGGGCTTGAACACGCATATGGGCCCGCAGGCTTAACCTCGGGCCAAAAATCCCAACCCGCAATAAATTCGAGCCGGGCTTGGGATTTTCCAAAATAGCCTAGCCCAGCCCAACCTATAATTAAACCTAAAAACCCTAGTCGAATACCCTCTTTTTTTCACCTCTTTGCCTCTTTCCTTTCTTTTTCCAACAGAACCATTCTTCTCCACATCCTCCACAGTTCTCATCCTCACACTCTCAGGCAGCCACACAACCGACGAGGTAACAAACGTTCACCGGCACAACAACTCCGACGGTGAGTCCTCACACTTCTCTTCTTCTCTCTCTCTCTCTCTCAGACACAAACTGATCACTGTTAAACTTAGAATCGCAGGTCGCAACTCACAGACCACAGTCACCACGAACTCAGTTCTGACAAACACAATCACTAGCGAACACAAACGGGCTTCGAGCTTTTTATTAGGGCCAGGCTCGGGCCCAAGTTAAAGGCTCGTTGGTCAGGCTAAGCTCAGGCTCGGGCCTAACAAATTTTCATTAATGAAGAGTAAAAACCCAACCCAGCCCATAAACAGGTCTAGTCCTGATGATATACACCATCTCTAATGTTCTGGGCAACAATATGCCAGTATGCCACACGTTTTTACCACACCCATATGGCCAGAATTGCTCCTCAAGCTCTAGAATATCAAAATTATGGTCGTGACATTATGGAACCTCGACAATTGCCATGGTTTCCACTTTCCAGTTAGAATTAACATTTATTAAATGTTAAGCTGACTCCGGAACTATTTCTTCCTGGATCCTGAATTCATGATATTGACCTGTTTTAGTTCAGGATCTCCAGTGATTAACATCTTGGTTTCATGGGGTGTTTCACCATGCCGAGGTTCTAGGACTAATTTGACTTCAGTAAAAAGGCAGTAGCTGGTAAAAGCTGGGACAATGCAAAACACTACATTTCTTCAAGCTCCACTAACACAAAAACTCAATGTGTTTTTTCTTGCAGGATTCACAAGCATTGAACATCAAAATTCTTAGATAATACCAAGAGAACGAAAGGCAATCAAAATGGATTTCTACTTCCTAGATGACTCATCACTTTGAAGGCTAATTTACACCACATGCCGCCACGTTATATGTGCTTTTCTATATTTACTATCTGCAGTCCAAGCATCTATTATTTTTTTGAACCACTTGTAGATTCTGGTGGTGATTTTACAATGCTAAGCTGCCCACCTTCTTTGTTAGCAACAGTGGCAGCCTTCACCTCATTGCAATGGTTTATGAACTTAGTTAACTCCTGGAATCATAACATAGAAAATAATAATTTATCAGTGCTGCAAACAAACTATATGACAGAAAAATTAGAAACAAAGACGTACAGCTTTGTGGACCTTTCCCATTTCATAATCCAAAAACTGAAAAGTAATAAACATTGGAGCTCTTCCCATTCCAAAAATAGCCATGGCGATGCATGAATAGCCAAAATAATACCAGCCACTAGTTACTATCTACCATTAACTGAAACAAACTAACAAATGATAAGATATTTCATAAGTAATAAAATCAAATTATAAAGAAATATACTGAACTAAATAGATTAATGGAGATCACCTTAAGATAGTGTGGCATCACTGAGCATACAAACAACAAGAAGACAAGCCCAGACCACTAGTTACTATGATATACTATCTACTAAGACCAAGAGGATACAAGGGTCGGGATAGTAGACTGATGCAAAATGGTTCTCTGAGAATTGTGCAAAGCAATGGTAAAACGTTGAACTGACAAGTGTGAGAACCCGTTCAAATCTGAAAACAGCCAATTAGTGCAAAAAATGCCGAGGGTTGGGTCCATGTACATTCCACCCCTCCCAAGACCCTGATATCTGGGCCAGCAATGAGTAATGGCCTTCTTTTATGAATTATGATCCTTTATAGCCACTCTGTTTAATAGTTAATTCAGCTTTACCATATAAAGTCTATGGTAAAGACCAAATTAGCCACCAGTATTCCAGTAATGCAGTCCAGAGAGCTACCAAGTATACATTTAGTGAATAACATTGATAACATAAAGGGATTTCTTCACTTTCTTTCATACCCCTAACTGAATGAATTCAGAAATAAGACAGCAATCCCTTCTTATACAATTGAAGGTAGCCTACAACTAACACCCCCCCCCACCACCCTGTGATACTGCCTTTGCTGCTAATATGCAAGCAGCCACTAGCCCACTACCCACCAGAATGCATAGGTGGCTGCCCACGTGCACATCAACCAACCAAAACCAACATACTAAGTTGCTTTGTGTCGCAACCACCAAAGTCATCCTATAATAACAAGGGATAAGGTTTATTCTCTTAACTATGTATACATTGTTTATACCCTGGGGCTCTGGCCCCTATGTTGCATGGTTATTATCAATATACCACTTACGGTTGACAAAGAAAATGTTAACTAGTAGACAAACAACATCTAAGAAGGTAACATCCTATGATCTGGAACATACTTTCCAGTCTTTCACTTTAACCATCTCAAACTACTCAAAATGCAAGCATTGAAGCCATTATAAATCAGAAAAGAAAACTAAATAAATGAGGCAAAAAAACTGCTATTTATATGTCAGTACTTAGTTTGTACACAAAAAGAATGTTTGGCTTAGGAATAACATCATTGTAAAGAATTCATATGCACTCTAAGTAATAGTTGTAAAAGGTTACAAAAAGAATGCCCCATTCTATTGAGAAGAATCACTAAAAATCTAAAACAGCTAGAAAGACATGAGTTTTATTGATAAGAATCTCAAAGATGTGCCAACAAGGGTGCACCTTTACAAAGGTCTTCTAGGGAAATGTTATTTTGGGCAGCTTTGTAATCTTTCTTTTTGAATACCTGTAACATTTTTTTAGGAGAGGCTGCACCTTGTGCCTCTCCAAGGGATGCTTGTAAAAGTTTATTCTCTTTGATTAATGAAATTATCATTCAATTATCAAAAAAATACAAGGGTGTATCTTTCAGTCAATATCCAGTGAGTCCCCTCGACTGCACTTTTCTGGAATTCATATAGCATGGCAACTAAAAAGGAGATGAAGGAAAACAAATACTCTGTCTCGAGACTATTGAAACAGGAATCCTAAGTCTAAAGGGATAGAAATTAAATTTACTGGCTAAGCTATGATTCCCATGGAATTTTTTGATATGATCAATTTCAATCAAAATATGGAAGAGATATTAACAGAAATTGATTTCAGTTTCTAATGTTTTAATGACAAAAAAAAAGGAAAATTTGGCTCCCATCCCCACTAACATGGTATGACTCATGTGGACTGCTATGCTCAAAATTTTGCAAACATCATGGACAATGTAATAAAATGTATCAGCAAAGTTGGTGGTGAATCTGTCAATCATAGACACCCATAATATTATTTTACAAAATTGCGATGGATATATTTCGTACCGTTCATTAAGAAACAATGTCCTTAAAAGCTAAAGCTTGAGATGAGGGGTACAAAATAAGCCCTTCATCTTCCCTGCCCCTTTCAGAGGAGAAGGGGACTACATCTGAACTAAAATGCCAGCCTTCCTAAAAGAACTTCAACTACCATTTAACTTATCAATAGCTCTGCAAGGAGTGGTGTTATGAGGAGTGATTTGTTTTAAGGAATAGCTGATGCAGTTAACTTCTCTTCCTCTATTCCTTTTAATTTCCTTTTTATTTTAAATGAGTATTTTTCAGTTACTGATAAAATTCAAAGGGCAACTGTTTTCTGATTGCATATGGATCACAATGTTTATTGCACAACATGACAAGGAACTCTACAAGACATGTCAATAATTCCAACTCAACAGAACCACTTCATGCTGCATGGGGCTTAAAGAGAAGAGAATAGATCAATAGCAAGACTTACAAAACGGGCTAACAGGCAATCAAAGCCCATTACCAAGTCCAAAATAGGCCAAATATTTAATTATTAAAAATAAAATATCTAAATACTTGAACCCAGGCCTAGTCCCAGGGAGACATCCATACCTAGGCCAATGCCAATAACTATTTTATTTGGCCACGTACCCAGGGAAAGAAGGATGGTTAAGTGGAGAACCACAGCACCTAACCTCATTAGCATGAGAAGGACTGCCATCAATTTCCATCAATTAGTTATTATTTATTACTTGTAAGTTATAAGCATTACTCTGTACCCTCTATATAAAACCATCTAACTTTAATTTATAATAAATGAAAGGCAACAAGGGGGCAGAGGAAGGGAGAAAAAACAACTAGCACTGGTCAACTCTAGCACTTGTTTGTTCCTTTAATGGAGAAACTCCATTAACCATTTAATATTTGGAAATCTCATAGTAATACTCCAAATTGAAGGACAGGTGAGGCTAAGAAGGCTATAATTCTAGGATATGCAACTTAACTTATCATTCATTCTCTTCTCCATTCTATCCTCTCTTAAACTTCTGTTTATCAATCATTGTATGGTTACCTAATTCACCCTGTACACCCAACCATAACCATCACATCCATTTCTAATACAAAATTTAGGGTCCACCACCATTTTTGTCAGTAACAATCAAATTGTATTGACTAAAAAAGAAATTGTCGTGTAGATATACAGAACCGTGCCTAGCACCCTTTAGGTTGATATAGGAAGGCATAGCCACCTAGTTCACCCTTATTGTTTTGCGTTCACATCAGTTTCTTAGGGAACACCTCCCCAGTACACCTTAATTCAATTAGGACTTTTCTTTGTTCAGGGAACACCACTCCCAAAGACTTCAAAGAATGCAATTATTGGTTATGTTAAGTCCTCAAGTTTGGAATCCATAATTTTCCTTTCTAGTGGAGGTTTAGGTGGTATTGTGGTAAAGTGTGCACTCATGCAAATATGAACATTTTTGAATTGACCCCATTTGTCATAAGGATACATGCCTTATGAATCAAAAACAGAAGTCCCTAGGAGATCACAGAAATTATGGTACCACAACAACTTAGTTTCTCAAACTAAATAAGTCTAGACATGTCAAGACATGAATACCATTTGATGCTTGACACAACACTTCCTGTAACATGCTGATTACAGCAATTGATGATGATCACAAGGTTTCTAACAAAAAAAAATGCAAGGATGGTATGTTGAGTGTTGACAGTCGAAAAACTAGGGAACAAGAGACAGTAACAAGTTAAGCAACACTAAAAAGTTTAACTTTATAATACCCCATCAAATCACACCTTTAATAACAATTAAAAGGTCTGTATTTGCAAATCAACGTACTAACCAACTATTACCAAACTTGATTTGCTTAGATGAATAAAAGTTAGAGTATAAATATGTAAGTTTGGGATAATGATTATGGGTTTGGTTCTCCAATACTACCATTACTATCATGAAGTAAAAAACCTAGAATATTTTGCAAATACATCAGAAAGCCATGAAGAACTATCCATTATTTACTTAAAGCACAAGGGTTTCTACTCAAGCCTCAGAACCAAAATATTTGGCTTGCTACCAAGATGGAATGATGCAACAATGGTCCAGTGACTTCAAGAAGTAAATGCATTACTTCCTAAGCATTTGTATCATCTGAAGGAAGGAAAGTGGTCTGAGCTAATAAATCTGTTGGAATGCCAAAAGGTGTGTATGACGTAAAAAATTCAACCTAAATATTAGTGGAAACCGTAATTAAGGAGTGCATTATGTGCAAGATTCAACCTAAACATTTGTAGAAACTGTACTTAATGGCCAAAAAATTTTGTTGCAAACATTTCTTGGAATGTGGCATCGAGTCTACTAGGAAATATAACGGGACAGACCATGACATGAGTAGCATTTACTTAGAACAAAAGAATAAAACTTAAACCCTTTTTCTCAGGGCGTCAAAAAAACAAATAAAACACTTTTTCTCAGAAACTTAATTTCAATACGTCTAGCAAATTAGTAGATACCTTTTCACAGGTACAAGGCATCTGCTAGTTAAGAAGAGCTCGTTATAAGTTTGGATTTACATTTCTGGTCGCAGAAGAGAGAGAGGGAGAGAGAGAGAGAGAGAGAGAGAGAGAGAGAGAGAGAGATTACCCGATCAGCATCCATATCCTTAGTAACCTTTGATGGCTTCACAGATTTCTTCCCTGAAAAGTAAGAAAATGATAAGCTGAAAGAGAACAACAGAGATGGGGATGGAAAAATAGATGGTGTAGTTTACCTTTGCGAGTGACAGCGGCTTTGCCATGGCGATTTGGAGGAATTGTCTTCTTCTTCTGCTGTCCTTTGAAGAGATTGGCCTTTTGGGTCATCGTAACACCTTGGGATAAAGTAGAGAAAGCCTCAGGACCCAGGAATGTTCCTTCTTTATAGGGTTTTCAGAGTTCCTCACGGTTTTAGTGTTGGAAGGAAGAAGATGACCGTGGAATCGTTACCTTGGAACAACTTTTTAAGAGAAGGCGGTGGTAGGGCAATCAATTGGTCGGACCACCTGTCCATCCGACCGAAATCCGGTCTGATTAGTGAGTGGCTAGTTGCCACACACATACTCCAAAGCCAGAGAAGTGTATCCGCTTCACCGAATAAACCAATCCAGTCTGATCAGGATGTGATGCCATAAAAGCAATGGACGGCAATGATTCGTAGAGATGTCAATTAATGTATGATGCCGAAAGTTTTTCTTCCAGACTGTTTACCATATATATTTAGCCAAAAGGAATCTAATTGTTTGGACGGTAACGATCATTCAACTTGTTCTCTCTATCATTGTTCTTGGGTCCGCCCAAATCATTGACAGCCATAGCTTCATTTGAAATCACATTCAGTCAATACAAAACCCGTTCGAACACCCATTATAACCTTACATCGAGAATATCTCCATGAAATAAAGCAAGAAGTGCGCTCATTCATTTGAAGTTCAAGGGATATTCACTACTCAGGCTAGATCTGTGTTCTGTCCATGGAGTTCTCTTTCCTCTATTAAATATGTTATGTATATCTTTGTGTGCATATAACACGTATACTTGTATAATAAATTCATACAAGACCGAATGGCCTTAAAAATCCAAAAATATATATCAGAGGGGGCCTAGCTGGATATCTCTATAAGCCTGTGGGATGGAACCAAGCCAGCCAAAATCAAACAGACCGGCGGTGAGGCCAGATTTGAATGGGCCAATTCCGGAAGCCTGGGCCCAATATAGTGTATGTTCTTTAAATTTGGTACCCAACTTGTTCTCTCTATCAATGTTTTAAAAATCAATTTAGAATCAGAACCGCTTTGGCCACTGGTTTAGCTGTACGGTTTGAACAGATGATCCATTCAATTTTAAAATATAAAAACAGCTAAAAACCATTACCTGAATCAAATGGATCAACCGATCAATTATCCGAGTCAGCGGGTCACAGGTCAAGTCAACATTTTTTAGCAAGATTCTGGTTCAGGGGCGAAATGGAACTGACTGGCTGGACAGCTTCCAGGCCAAATGGTCTGACCATCCAGTTCAACGATGGTTCTAAAGCCATGCTCTCTATATACAGTGAGCTCAAAGTGTGCTGGTACAAAAGCACTAAAGTGCAATTGGAAATGAACTTTAAGGGTGCACTCTCTTTTTTGGATTTGGAGAAGGGGGAAAGTTGATCAATGGGATTTTGGTTCCTATTGACCATGAATTCCATGTTCTTGTTTCAGTTTTATGTGGAGATCAGGGAAAGTTTATTTTCCTAGATATCATTTACCCAGGAAAGTGATACCCATCTTCTAGGTGGATAAATAATTTTCTAACATAGGGGGAAAGTTACCAACACTTGAATGGGACAAAAGTGCCCCTTTTAATAATATATTTCTATGGCTAAAATGGTCATTGTCTTATTTACTTGGGAAATGAAAGAACATGTGTAAATGCGCTTACCCAGGTAAGTGTTTCCCAAAAAAAACTTACCCAGATAATTGCATTTACCTGGATAAATAACTTACTGGAAAATGAACAGAACCTAAAGATCATAAATAAACATCAAGCCCAAGCCTTTGGATCTTGTTTGATAGCAATGTAAAATATCATATAACTTGGGAAGGTATTATAAGGGTATAAAGAAGATGTCCAACTACAAGCTTGATACCGATCAACGTTCAAAGTTTCACTCACAGTAGGTAAAAATAGCACATAGAGAGTTCCATTCCATGGAAACTCTTTGCTATTTTTTTTTGTTTTTTACTCTTTTGAATGGTAATTTGTCAATAGATACATTATCACCTATTGACATTTAAAAGCAGTTGAAATCATCTAGATCATTGCTTAAACCTTGGTACCACCCTAAATCACATAGCTCAGAGGTTAGCTATAAAACCATTAAATTATATATTACAAAATACAAGAGAGTACACGACATGAATGAATTATATGATGCACCTAATAATTAAACATTCCTAATACATAGCAGAGTATTATCGGCAATACTGCTTCAACTGAAAGCAGATTCCCTCTGATACCCTTGTTAATCAAAGATGATTTAGAAAGAAGTATCATACTATAGTGGATCAACATCTTGTGGCAATATGACATTACTAAAACTTGTACGCTCGATTGAAGTTGAACCTGAGTCCCATAGCCCCAAAGATTCAGTGACGAAGCACTCCACTTTTTCATCATCTTGTTGAATTGGAGAATGCCCTTCATGTGTTCTCAACCCATCAAGTTCTATTCTATCTGAGGATGTTACTTTGTACTAAAAATGGCAACAATTAGGATCACACCCAATGTACCCATCTCAAGACCCTTAGATAGTTGGAACCATCATTGGGTAATAGCCTTCTTATATTATCTCAAATATTTATGAATAATTGGAATGTAAATAGAATTAGTAACTAAAGGTAATATTTTGTACCTAAAAACAGTTTTTTTTTTTCATTTCTAGAACCCAAGGACTACTCTTAGGCTATACAATCCATCTGGATTACACCAAAATATATGCAATATTTCAGACCTATATCTGCAACATATATACCTTAAAGTTGTGTTTCATTTGATAAGAAATAATTTTTTGGAACCGAATTGAAGTCAGTTGTTTAACCAGTTGATCGGTTTGGCTAGTCGGTTTTTTTGTTTTTTAATTTTACAATATATTATAAAAATATGTGATAAAAAATGATAAATATATATATATATATATAATATTATATTTTAAATAATAAATAATATATATTTATATATATAATGCATATTTATTAATTTATAATATATAAAAAATATAATATATATATATAATATAGAAATATATTTATACCGGTCGGTTTGATTATCTGCCAGTTTTCTATATTGGTTAATCAAAATTGAACCATATCTTTAATTTTTTAAAAACACCGAACCGGCTGATACAGTTAACCAATTTTTTTATTTGGTTTCGATCGATTTTTTCTCACCCCTAAGAGAAAGAGAGTTTTCATCAAACCTGTGTCTGATAGAAAATGAAAGACAAATGGGAAAATGCTCAACCGCAGCCTTAGGTTGCTCAAAGGCAATGAGATCTTGTGAGAATAAAGAATCAAGGACTATTCTTTGTCAGTTCGAGCCTCTAATGTTTGTCCGTTTTTGTGTGCACATGTAATTATATAATATATGTATATTTAAATAATTTTATCGAACTAAATCATAATGGATTAGATTCTCTTGGGTTAGTCCCGATCCAATTATGTAATTGGACTTTTCGGACTCCATGGAGTAAGTATGTGTTCCCATTATATGCAGAATCACATATACATCGCACATATGATTTACCATTTGTCATTGGCAATATAGAAGACATCGTAGGAATCCCATCGTACGAATTGGGGCCACAGGAAGACATGGGATCACCCTCTATCTCCCACATCACTTCCACCACATCGTTTCCCTACGGGAGCGAGTGATGATGATATGCAAGAGCTGTGTGTAAGTGGAGATCGAGGTCTGGCAACAGCCGACGCCTAAGCAACCAATTCTCTCCATGTTACTGGGGCAGACTGTTGCGCAGTATACTGCCTACAATTGATTTCAGATCACCTACCAATAAAATGTATTCCAACAATCTATCAATATAATTTCACACAGCACATCTCATTCATTGCATCTCCCTATTTCATGGTGAGATGTGTGGTGTTAGATTAAGTTGATAGTAGGGGTTTGGAACATGTTTCGTTGGCAGATGATCCTAATCCAGATTTATCATTTACCGTTGATAAGCAAAAGTGTGTATACAGAAGAGAACAAAATTTTTGAACAAGTGAACATTTCAATGGGACTTTGGTCTTTGTGTATGCACAAAGAAATGATTTAAACACCCATAATTTGACAGATAAACAAACACCTCCTTAGCTTGAAGCTTTGAATCCAGCTGTTTTTTTTTTTTTTTGCTGGGTTAAAAGATTATATTATACCACAGCTATATTTGCAATTCCACGAAAAGCAAGACATGTACAACGACCTGCACACCCCAATCACAAGTAATTAAATACATCAGTTACCGGCAAATTGTGTTTTCGAGTACCACTAGAGGTGGGTCATGTTGTTCATTGCTATAAAAATCGATTGAACCCACTTCTCCTTCCCAATCAAACAAGTGTATGTGATGTAATACATTACACAATTAATAATTAAAATAAGAATGTAGAAGGTTAATTTAAAATTTATAGAAAATTTGAGCAAGATTTAATATTAATAAAATCTTAGTTATGAGAATTGTTGTTGTTGTTATTATTATTAATGATGATGAAATTGATAGCTCTCTACTGGAAGACAGTTCGAACGTCGAGCTGATGAGGCTGATAGGCTGAGTTGCAAGAGAATAATCAGAGTATCCGGAGTGTTTTATTTAGGATGGGCACTTCGATGCTTAAGTCAACTATGAGTGTGAAGAAAGCAAGAGAGTTTGAGTGCACAATCACACATACCTTTTTTGGTTGAAGGAGGTGCCTTTATATAGGCATGGGCCTCACGTAGCACGTCCAAGAATTTTGAAAGTACGTGGCTTATTGGCCTGTCACCTTCATAGGTAGTTTTCGCGGATAGCAATAAGGCTTATTTGATTATTTCCGAAGCGGGTGGCACAGAAGTCAACTCTATCGGTTAGGCGGCGTGATCCTAGAGGACTGGGAGATAAGAAGTTCCACGTAGTGTAAGCCGGTCACCATGTCATGTAGGTTGCCACCTCAGGCCTCGGTCAAGTCGATAAGTGCTTGATAGCCAAGGTCCTAGGCCTGCCCTTGCCGAGGTTGCTAGTCTGCTCTGCCGAGGTGTGCTCCCCTTGAGCGAGGTGATGCTAGGCATTCACTCTCAAGACATCTGACGTGTGTCCGGGGTGACTTTAAGGTGAATACGAGGTGATTCTGACTGACTTGGTAAGGACACATCACTACCTACATGGCGTCAAGGTATTATGCAACAGTTTGGAAGTGCCATGTGACATGA